ATGCCATGCATGGTGCCAAACCCATTCAGAGATATCTAAACTGCCAGCTGTATACAACCGCTTCCTAAGATCAATGGTGTAAAAAGGCTTTGAGAGGGTAAGGCTTGAGGGTCTTGGTGAAGATCATCCCTCTTTGAATGAGACTTTCATATGTTTGCCATGAATTGTGCCAAACCCATTCAGAGATATCTAAACTGCCAGCTGTATACAACCGTTTCCTAAGATCAATGGTGTAAAAAGGCTTTGAGAGGGTAAGGCTTGAGGGTCTTGGTGAAGATCATCCCTCTTTGAATGAGACTTTCATATATATGCCATGCATGGTGCCAAACCCATTCAGAGATATCTAAACTGCCAGCTGTATACAACCGCTTCCCTAAGATCAATGGTGTAAAAAAAGGCTTTGAGAGGGTAAGGCTTGAGGTCTTGGTGAAGATCATCCCTCTTTGAATGAGACTTTCATATATATGCCATGCATGGTGCCAAACCCATTCAGAGATATCTAAACTGCCAGCTGTATACAACCGCTTCCTAAGATCAATGGTGTAAAAAAGGCTTTGAGAGGGTAAATAAGCTTGAGGGTCTTGGTGAAGATCATCCCTCTTTGAATGAGACTTTCATATATATGCCATGCATGGTGCCAAACCCATTCAGAGATATCTAAACTGCCAGCTGTATACAACCGCTTCCCTAAGATCAATGGTGTAAAAAGGCTTTGAGAGGGTAAGGCTTGAGGGTCTTGGTGAAGATCATCCCTCTTTGAATGAGACTTTCATATATGCCATGCATGGTGCCAAACCCATTCAGAGATATCTAAACTGCCAGCTGTATACAACCGCTTCCTAAGATCAATGGTGTAAAAAAACTTGAGAGGGTAAGGCTTGAGGGTCTTGGTGAAGATCATCCCTCTTTGAATGAGACTTTCATATATATGCCATGCATGGTGCCAAACCCATTCAGAGATATCTAAACTGCCAGCTGTATACAAACGCTTCCCTAAGATCAATGGTGTAAAAGGCTTTGAGAGGGTAAGGCTTGAGGGTTTGGTGAAGATCATCCCTCTTGAATGAGACTTTCATATATATGCATGGCCAAACCCATTCAGAGATATCTAAACTGCCAGCTGTATACAACCGTTTCCTAAGATCAATGGTGTAAAAAAGGCTTTTGAGGGTAAGGCTTGAGGGTCTTAGTGAAGATCATCTCTTGAATGAGACTTTCATATATATGCCATGCATGGTGCCAAACCCATTCAGAGATATCTAAACTGCCAGCTGTATACAAACTGTTCCCTAAGATCAATGGTGTAAAAGGCTTTGAGAGGGTAAGGCTTGAGGGTCTTGGTGAAGATCATCCCTCTTTGAATGAGACTTTCATATATATGCCATGCATGGTGCCAAACCCATTCAGAGATATCTAAACTGCCAGCTGTATACAACCGCTTCCTAAGATCAATGGTGTAAAAAGGCTTTGAGAGGGTAAGGCTTGAGGGTCTTGGTGAAGATCATCCCTCTTTGAATGAGACTTTCATATATATGCTATGCATGGTGCCAAACCCATTCAGAGATATCTAAACTGCCAGCTGTATACAACCATTCCTAAGATCAATGGTGTAAAAAGGCTTTGAGAGGGTAAGGCTTGAGGGTCTTGGTGAAGATCATCCCTCTTTGAATGAGACTTTCATATATATACCATGCATGGTGCCAAACCCATTCAGAGATATCTAAACTGCCAGCTGTATACAACCGCTTCCCTAAGATCAATGGTTTTTATATATGCCATGCATGGTGCCAAACCCATTCAGGATATCTAAACTGCCAAAAAGATCAATGGTGTAAAGGCTTTGAGAGGGTAAGGCTTGAGGGTCTTGGTGAAGATCATCCCTCTTTGAATGAGACTTTCATATATATGCCATGCATGGTGCCAAACCCATTCAGAGATATCTAAACTGCCAGCTGTATACAACCGCTTCCTAAGATCAATGGTGTAAAAAGGCTTTGAGAGGGTAAAAAGGCTTGAGGGTCTTGGGTGAAGATCATCCCTCTTTGAATGAGACTTTCATATATATGCCATGCATGGTGCCAAACCCATTCAGAGATATCTAAACTGCCAGCTGTATACAACCGCTTCCTAAGATCAATGGTGTAAAAAGGCTTTGAGAGGGTAAGGCTTGAGGGTCTTGGTGAAGATCATCCCTCTTGAATGAGACTTTCATATATATGCCATGCATGGTGCCAAACCCATTCAGAGATATCTAAACTGCCAGCTGTATACAACCGCTTCCTAAGATCAATGGTGTAAAAAGGCTTTGAGAGGGTAAGGCTTGAGGGTCTTGGTGAAGATCATCCCTCTTTGAATGAGACTTTCATATATATGCCATGCATGGTGCCAAACCCATTCAGAGATATCTAAACTGCCAGCTGTATACAACCGCTTCCTAAGATCAATGGTGTAAAAAGGCTTTGAGAGGGTAAGGCTTGAGGGTCTTGGTGAAGATCATCCCTCTTTGAATGAGACTTTCATATATATGCCATGCATGGTGCCAAACCCATTCAAACTGCCAGATATCTAAATCAATGCCAAAAAAGCTGTATACAAATTGCTTCCTAAGATCAATGGTGTAAAAAGGCTTTGAGAGGGTAAGGCTTTGAGGTCTTGGTGAAGATCATCCTCTTTGAATGAGACTTTAATATATGCCATGCATGGTGCCAAACCCATTCAGAGATATCTAAACTGCCAGCTGTATACAACCGCTTCCTAAGATCAATGGTGTAAAAAGGCTTTGAGAGGTAAGGCTTGAGGGTCTTGGTGAAGATCATCCCTCTTTGAATGAGACTTTCATATATATACCATGCATGGTGCCAAACCCATTCAGAGATATCTAAACTGCCAGCTGTATACAAACCGCTTCCTAAGATCAATGGTGTAAAAAGGCTTTGAGAGGGTTGAGGGCTTGAGGGTCCATGTAAAAGATCATCCCTCTTTGAATGAGACTTTCATATATGCCATGCATGGTGCCAAATCGATTCAGAGATATCTAAACTGCCAGCTGTATACAACCGTTTCCTAAGATGAATGGTGTAAAAAGGCTTTGAGAGGGTAAGGCTTCAGGGTCTTGGTGAAGATCATCTCTCTTTGAATGAGACTTTCATATATATGCCATGCATGGTGCCAAACCCATTCAGAGATATCTAAACTGCCAGCTGTATACAACCGTTTCCTAAGATGAATGGTGTAAAAAAGGCTTTGAGAGGGTGGGCTTGAGGGTCTTGGTGAAGATCATCTCTCTTTGAATGAGACTTTCATATATATGCCATGCATGGTGCCAAACCCATTCAGAGATATCTAAACTGCCAGCTGTATACAACCGTTTCCTAAGATGAATGGTGTAAAAAGGCTTTGAGAGGGTAAGGCTTGGGGTCTTGAATGAGTGAAGATGCATCCCAAATCTTTGAATGAGACTTTCATATATATGCACCATGCATGGTGCCAAACCCATTCAGAGATATCTAAACTGCCAGCTGTATACAACCGCTTCCTAAGATCAATGGTGTAAAAAGGCTTTGAAAGGGTAAGGCTTGAGGGTCTTGGTGAAGATCATCCCTCTGTGAACATAAGTATAGGAGAAAAAGAAATTGAATATAGAATTGGCAGCACCAGAGATAGTTTTGCTCAACACCAGCAATTGCTGCAAAACCAAAACATCAACCTGAAAATTCGATTTATGTTCTTAAATAAACCACGTCATATCGAGACTTTCACATGGATGTTATAAATAGCATCAAATTTGTTGAAAAATATCTAAACTGCCAGCTGCATACAACTATTTTCTAAGATTGTTGGCAGCTACAGAATAACACAGAACCGCACCACATACCACATAACAGAAACCATATCACTTGAGAACTACCAACAGCAAGTAGCAGCTAAAACGGCTGTTACATGTAACCATCAATACTGGAAAGAGCGATAACAGCTACTGGGCTTGAGAAGAGTAAATAATGACATAATCAAGATGTTGACATTCCACACTACTTGAAATAAAAGGTTAGGAAGAAAAACTCCATCAATACTGGAAAGAACGCTAAGAGCTACTGAATTTGAGAAATCTATTTTCCTGAAGAATTGTTTTAAGGGAAAGATTTTATGAATTTTAATCGACAGAATTACCCGCTTCTCAGTCAATGAATGACAAATGTTTCCTTATAGGGAAACGGCTATTATTAGGATTAACATTACATTTATAGCGTCTTTTGCTAATTTAATATGGTTTTAGATTTTGATGTCATATTTTCCTATGCCTTTACGCGCACATATTTTGAGCAGATTTTTAGAGGATTACACTCCCCATACGATCATCGAAGTTAAGCAACGTCAAGCCTGGTCAGTAACTGCTTCGCAATACTATGTGCTGTAAGTTTAGATGTGTAAGTTTAGATGTGCGGATGGTGTAACGGATATAGCCACGGGATTTTTAAACAAGGAGCCGACTTCCAATTCCAGTCAGGTTCGTTATATTCGCTTACGCGTAAATACACTTGGGAAAGGTATGAATTCACTTCTTCTACCCCCAGCTATGGGTTAATTAGTAAAACCTATTATTATCACCAAAAATAAAACAAAAATTGTGTACACAAATATTTAGACCCCGGCATTAAATAACCCACAGAGGTGTCGATTTTCCGCTAAACCAAAACAAACACTTTTTTTTTTAGGTAGCCAGTATGTGTTCGGAATAACATCAAGAAATGGAAATGAAACAGCCATTAGAAGCCATAATAATATATTGCAAATACGCAGGGGAAAATCTCTCGTTCCGTTCTTTCATTAAAATGGGAAGAGACGAAGCGAAATGCATAGAATGGGTTGTTAAAATGGGAACGGTAAAACAAAAATAACAAACAGAAAAAGAAAAAGTGTGCGTATAGACGCCTGTAATCTGCCTCATTGGAGGCGCAGGGTGCAAATTTAGAGGCCTTAGAAGAAAGGGACATCAATAGGGAATGGAAAGCCTGTCAGGTCTTCTAATGGATTATTACTGTCACCCCTTGTCCATATCAGTCTATTCATATCTATCTATCTATCTATCTATCTATCTATCTATCTATCTATCTATCTATCACATTTTAAAATCTATCACAGTCTTATAAAATTTACCTATCACAGTCTGGTCAAATCTATCTATCTATGATATTTTTTTTTAAATTTATGCATCACAGTCTGTTAAATCTAGCTAGCTAGCTCAGTCTGTTCAAATCTGTCTATCACAAATTGTTAAAATCTATCTATCTATAAGACTACAATGTTTGTTCATAGTTATGTTTGTATGTATTTATCTACGCATCGAAGTTTTTTCATATATATATATATATATATATATATATATATATATATATATATATATATATATCCTTTTCACACTCACTCTCCCTGAATATATATATACAAAATATACATATATATACATATATATGACCTAAGGATACTGGAAAAACAAAAAAATTAAATCCTCATTGTCTGTTGTATTTAATGAAATGTTTAAAATAAGTATATATATATATATATATATATATATATATATATATATATAAGACATTTTATGGTTATACATTCTTTTTATAAAAATGTCTTAAAATAATTGCGGACTTTGTCTCTCTCTCCCTCTCTCTCTCTCTCTCTCTCTCTCTATATATATATATATATATATATATATATATATATATATATATATATATATATATTATTATCTATCAGTAAACGAATTAGTACAAATTCAGCAAATGACAAGATTTTTGATGAGCATATCAATTCCTATAATAAGGCTCTAAAAGTGGCTACAAAACCCAAAATTAACTTATATAAAAAATGAAAATGGAAAGCATACAAAAAACAGATGTAGAAAGATTATTTGGTATACTCCCCCATATAACCAAATGGTAAAGAACAGATTAGGACATAAATTTCTCGCATTAATAGTCAAGCATTTTCCTAGTGAAAGTAAACTTAGTACTATTTTCAATAAAAACACACTAAAATTAAGTTATAGCTGTACAAAAAACTTAGAAAAAATCATCAAGAACCATAATGCTAATATCTTAAATAAACATTTATACCAAAACCAAAAAAATTTAGACAATGGAAAAATTAAGATAAAAACTGATGGAAATAAACAAAAACTATGTAACTGTAGAAACCCTCAAAATTGCCCACTACAAAATAAATGTCGCACTGAATAATTAGTATACCAATGCAATATCTCTTCGATTGAAAGTCCTGATAACATAAAATATATATAGGTTGCACTAGCCATGAATTCAAAAAAGATTCAACCAACATCAAACTTCATTTAGAATAAATAGATATAAAAAATCAAACATCTCTCTCAAAATATTTCTGGCATCTAAAAGAATCAAATAAACACCTACAGTAAAATAGAAGTTAATAAGAAAAGCTAGAATTTGTAGATCATTTAACGACCCGTGTCCTCTATGCATACAAGAAAACTATATATTACTAAGTTTATAAAAATAAAATTTACTGAATCAGAGAAATGAAATGGCTATTATATGCCGTCATTGTCAAAAATTTTCCTTAAATAATATATAAATTAAAAAAAAAGAAGTCTATTGGAATGACAGTGAAAATATTTTAAACTTGTATTTAAATTTTTAAAATTTAAAATTGTAGTTAAAACGCATTCAAACATAAGCATCTTTTAAAAATTGTAGTTAAATAAAATGTATCCTAACCGAAACACCTCTATAATAAATGTACTACAAACACTTGAAAGAATCCAATAAAACACCTACTGAAAAATGAAATTATAACAAAAAGCTAGATGATGTAAGGTAATGTAAGACCCATTGTTCTTTGTACATACATATGAAACTTTATTACTCAGGTTACATATATTTAAAATAAATAAATTAATTAATTAATACATAAAGTTTACTAAATCTGAGAAATGACTTAGATAGTTTTGTAGTCTGTGCCATTTATATTACTTAAATAATATTTAAATATAATAGTTTAAAAAAAAATGTAATTTACATATACTTTGATATGGAAAAATAATTTTACTTACTATGAGTAATTATCCTTCTGTTGTAAAATAATATATTCTATTAAAACTAACAATCATAATATTTTAAAATTTTAAAGTGGTAATTTTAAAATTGTAATTAAAATTGTAGTTAAATAAAATGAATTTTAACCTGTTCTTTGTACATACATATGAAACTTTATTACTTAGGTTACATATATTTAAAATAAATAAATTAATTAATAAATAAAGTTTACTAAATCTGAGAAATGACTTAGCTAGTTTTGGAGTAAGTGCCATTAATATTACTTAAATAATATTTAAATATAAAAGTTTAAAAATTGTAATTTACATATACTTTGATATGGAAAAATAATTTTACTTACTATGAGTAATTTTCCTTCTGTTATAAAGTAATATAGTCTATTAAAACTAACAATGAAAATATTTTAAAATTTTAAAGTTGTAATTTTAAAAATGTAATTAAAATTGTAGTTAAATTGAATGAATTCTAACCTAAATTTCTTTTAAATAGTACTACATGCACTAAAATGAATCCAAAAAAACACCTATAGTAAAATAAAATTAATATGAAATACCATAAGATGTAAGCTATAGAATGACCCATGTCATTTGTACTTACATGAGAAACATTATATTACTAGGTTTATATATAAAATAAAAGTTTACTAAATCAGTGAAATTAAGTTACCATTTTGCCATCATAGTCATAAAATTTAAAAAAAATGTAACCTCATATACATACTTAAACTTGAATTAATACATAAAGTTTACTAAATCTGGGAAATGACTTGATAGTTTTGTCGTTCAAATTAATATTACTTAAATAATATTTAAATATAAAAGTTTAAAATTGTAATTTATATATACTTTGATATGGAAAAATAATTTTACTTACTATGAGTAATTATCCTTCTGTTATAAAGTAATATAGTCTATTAAAACTAACAATGAAAATATTTTAAAATTTTAAAGTTGTAATTTTAAAATTGTAATTAAGATTGTAGTTAAATAAATGAATTATAACCTGTTCTTTGTACATACATATGAAACTTTATTACTTAGGTTACATATATTTGAAATAAATTAATTAATTAATTAATTAATAAAGTTTACTAAATCTGAGAAATGACTTAGCTAGTTTTGTAATAAGTGCCATTAATATTGCTTAATTAATATTTAAATTTAAAAGTATAAAAATTGTAATTTACAAATACTTTGATATGGAAAAATAATTTTACTTACTATGAGTATTTTTCCTTCTGTTATAAAGTAATATAGTCTATTAAAACTAAACAATAAAAATATTTTAAAATTTTAAAGTTGTAATTTTGAAATTGTAATTAAAATTGTAGTTAAATTGAATGAATTCTAACCTAAATTTCTTTTAAATAATACTACACGCACTAAAGAGAATCCCCAAAAAACACCTATAGTAAAATAAAATTAATCAGAAATGCCATAAGATGTAAGCTTTGAATGACCCATGTCCTTTATACTTACATGAGAAACATTATATTACTAGGTTTATATATAAAATAAAAGTTTACTAAATCAGTGAAATTAAGTAACCATTTTGGCCGTCATAGTCATAAATTTAAAAAAAAAAAAAATGTAACCTCATATACATACTTAAACTTGATGTTAAAATAATCCTACATAATATAATGGATTCTAATACATTTAAATGTTCTTAAAAAGAATATAGTATAATAAAAATTAAAAAGGAGAATATTACAAATCGTAGTTAAATAAAAAGTATTATGATAAAAAAAAAAACCGAAAATCTTTAAATTTATAAAGAAAAAAAAAAAAATGATGTTGAAATTTTTTTACCGTTAACATTAATTTTTTTTTTTTTTACAAATCCAGACGACATCCATTCAACTGATGTCAGGTTTCATTGTAAAAATACATCCCTACCCTTACCAAATTGTAGCTAATAACTGATACAATGATACTGACATAAGGAAAATTTAGACATCCCTTGTTCAATTTAAGTAGAATATTCTGTAAATTATGGAAACGTGAATTTCGCTGTGTCTTTAAAAACCCGGTAATTTTTAAAAGTTGCTCCAAAATTCGCTTGAAGATGAAATGGAACTAATGCTTTTAATTTAATTGCAAAATTAAATTGGGGTTTTAGCTTCTATTTTGAAACATGGTTGGAACTGTGTAGCGAAAAAAACCATATTTTAAATCAATTAATTTATAAAATATATATATATATATATATATATATATATATATATATATATATATATATATATATATATAGCTAGTAAACTATCTTTCAATTTATTATGTATGAACTTATTTCTGTGTTTTTATAAGGATTTTACCTAATTCTATTCTCATGTATATACATATTTATCTGTCATCATTTGTTTGAATCTATCTATTAATCTATCTATCTATCTATCTATCTATCTATATATATATATATATATATATATATATATATATATATTCATGAATCATTCACACAAAAAAAAAAGCAAAGGTTAATGATTTAATTGGCGAGAAATCCATCATCGCAAACAATTCAAATAATATACAAAAACCTCCGAATCCGTTATGAATGAATTGATCCTTGTTTCCATAAATTTCTGCCGTATTAGTTCTTATTTTTTACTACAAGCTTTCGTCTGTTCCTGCAGACATCTTCAGGTATAGAATAGATGTTGTTCTTGTTTTTTTCTTAGTAATAAGAGGACAACGAAAATATATGTATTGTTGTATCCGAAAATGCTATTGAAAATGAGTTATTTTTTTTGGAGCGCGCAGTAGCAACGCTGAGTTTGATTTAAATTTTTTCAAAGGTTGTGCGTCTTCGTATAAATATGGCTATGAACGAATTTTTTACTGGTAAATTTTTCTGTCAAAGTGGCATGAACTATATTGTTCAATAATTACAGTAATGTCGCACTTATTATCCAAAAAGTCGCATTTGGATCAGTTATTTAAATTACGATAAACGTGCAATCAATTTACAAATTCATGAATTATTCACAAAAACAAATGCAAAGGTTAATGATTTAATTGGCGAGAAATCCATCATCGCAAAAACAATACAAA